ATGTTCTATGTTCTATGTTCTATGTTCTATGTTCTATGTTCTATGTTCTATGTTCTATGTTCTATGTTCTATGTTCTGTCTCTCATCCACAGGAGGTTTTGTTGGCATTTTAAACTGGGAGGAAAATTTAAGTATTTTCATCAGCTTTCTCAGTGTTCATATTGGTGAACCAGCCTTTTTTAAGACGTTTTCATGGCATGTGTTTAAGCGTTTTTACTGCCCAATCCTAATTGCCCTAGAGAAGATGGTGGCAAGGTGCCTTCTTGAACTGCTGCTGTCCTTGGAGGTTATGGCAAGGTGCCTTCTTGAACTGCTGCTGTCCTCGGAGGTTAGGGGCACTCACAGTGCAGTTAGGGAGGTATTTCCAGGATTTTGACACACCAACAGTAAAGAAACAACAATATAGTTCCAAGTCATGGAGTTGGTCTTCCCATGTATCTGCTGCCTTTGTTTTTCAAGTCGGCAAAGGTTGTAGGTTTGAAAAGTACTGTTGGAGGATCCTTGGTGAGTTACTACTATGCAGTTTGAAGATGGTACACAATGTTGCCACTAGTGATTTGCTAGTGAAGGGAATGAATGTTGAAGCTGGTGTTTGGGGTGGCAAAGAAGCAGTCTGCTTTTGTCCTGATAGTGTCAAGCTTCTTGATCTGAAGAAGGGTACCTGGGCCCAAAACATTAACTCTGTTTTCTCTCCACAGATGCTGCCAGACCTGCTCAGCTTTTCCAGCAATTTCTATTTTCATTGTTGTGTACTGTTGGAGATGCACCCATCCAAACAACTGGAGAGTATTTTCCATCTTACTCCTGGCTTCTGTCTTGGAAATGATGAACAGGCTTTGTAGAGTTAGGAGAGGAGTTACTTGCTGCAGATTTCTCAGCCTCTGACTTGCTTTTGTAGCTACAATATTTATACGGCTAGTCCAATTCAAATTCAGGATATTGATAGTAGGGGATTCGATGATGGGGAGGTCATTAAACATTAAGGGGTGATGGTAGGACCTATTTTGTTGGAAGTGGTCATTCATGTCACATAGTCGCCAGGCAATGTTACTCACCACTTGTCAGCCCAAGCCTGGATGTTGTGCAGGTCTTGCTGCACATGGATAACGACTGCTTCAGTATCTGGAGTCTCATGAATGATGCTGAACATTATGCAATCATTAGTGAAAACCTCTCTTCTGACCTTATAATGGAAAGAATTGATGATGCAGCTGAAGATGGTTGGGCCTGAGGAAATCTGATTGACCTCTTTCTTTATGCCTAGTATTACTCCAACCAGTGGAAAGTTTCTCCTTGCTTCATACTGACTTTATTATTATTAAGGATGCTCGATGCCACAACTGGTCAAATGCGGCTGTGATGTCAAGAGCAGTACTCTCACCTCACCACTGGAATTCACTTAGTTTGTCCTTGTTTGAGCTATAGCTGTAATAAGGCCAGGAACCAGGTGGCCATTCAGGAACCTAATCTGGGCACGGGTGAGCAGGCTATTCCTATACCAGTGTTACTTAACCACACTATCGATGGTCTCTTCCATCATTTTGCCAATGATCAAGAGTAGACTGATAGGGCAGTCCTTGGATGGATTACATTTGTTTTACTTTTTGTACTCAGGACACATCTGGGCAAGTTTCCACTTTGTTGGGTGAATGCCAGTGTTATTGCTGCATTGGAACTGCGTGGCTAGAATCACAGAATCACTACAGTCTGGAAGCAGGCCATTCAGCCCATTGAGTCCACACTGACCCTCTGAAGACCATCCCACCCAGACTCACCCCTCACCCTATCTCTGTAACCCTGCATTTCCCATGGCTAATCCACCTAGCCTGCACATCCCTGGACACTATGACCAATTTAGCATGAAGATGCAGCTAGTTCAGGAACACAAGTTTTCAGTACCACTGCCAGAATATTGTCAGGGTCCATAGCCTTTTCAGTATTCAGTGTCTTCAGCTGTTTGTTGATGTTAGGTGGAGTGACTTGAATTAGTTGAAGACTGTCAGCTGTGAAGCTAGGGACCTCAGGAGGAGGCTCAGATAGACCATCCACTTGGCACTTCTGGCTGAAGATGGATACAAATCCGTAGGTGTGACAAATAAATTGTGAAGCAGTAAATTCATCAGTTGGGGATGATTTAGTAAGATGAGCATTGCACCATAAACAATTTTCAGGTTATGAGGACTCCACACTTCCACCTGAACATAAGGCTATTACATGATCTAATTGAAGGATTACACAGGTACAAGCAGAATGCCCTATTCCTTTCCTATGCTTTTTCAATGATGTCTGACAAAAGGCACTTTCAAAATACCATGATTTGTATTTTTGTTAAAGCAGTTTTGATTAGTCTTCTTTTTGGATTGAGAGACAGAGAGAAAGTCAGGTAGAAGGACTGTCATTAGTTGCCTCCTTTTATTTAACAGGAATAATAGCTAACCACAGAATATAGATAGATGACATTGTAATATGGACTTTTATTCCATGAATGGAAATATAAAGTATTATCATAGTCAGGAATTAGTTAGGTCACTTTATTAATTCAGTAAATGCGATTTTGCTTTGCCAAGCTCAGATTTTACATTAACTAATCCAAAAATGTTCAATTCTATAGATTATTAATTTAATTATAGTCAAATAATTACTTCTAATAGAAAGTCATTTAAGTACTAATAGTTTCTTTCAATATAAGTCCTTAGACTAAAACTAGGCTTTTTTGCCTTTGAAAATTGGTCCTAATGGAATCATTGTCTCTGATTTCTGCATGACAATCAAGCATCTCAAATATCTCTTTACAAAAAGTTTCCTTTCCCTTCGAGCTCAGCTCCAAAAGAAGATTAATAACATAAGCGATTCTGTAGCAAGCTGACCATAATGTGGAGAAAAGATCATATTACTGTGCACTGAGTTTTAATTCACAAGAATTTCTTCAAGAGTGAAAAGTTATAATTCTCTTCTTGAGAGTGATGAAAGGTGGATGGAATATTTTATATTCATTTTTGGAATTTGGATTGTTTTAAAAAGAGGGGCATATTGATGTAGTTAGTCCTGGAAATTTTATTTTTAAAAAAGGTCAGAATGTCATTCTGGAGTAGTGCCAAAAATGCACCAGCTCCAGGAAGGTATGTAAACAGTAATCAACGGCTCAGGAAAACCCCTGCACTGTTAATGGAATATGATGTTTATTTTTTGGGTTTATGCCACATTAAAACTATTCAATGTTCAATGTCTGTTTTAAAATCTTTTGAACAGTGTAATGGTTTGTCTGTTCTTTTTCCTTTTGTGTAATAAACATATGCTTTGCTGTTAAAGAACATCTGCAGCCTCATGTGAATATTTACTTTCTTTTCATTTCAGTCCAAAAAGACACCAGAACTATAGTTGAGAAGAATTAAGAGAATTTGAGTTCAGAAGCAACTTTTTAGGGTTCTCTCCTAGCAGGCTTTAGTTCAGCTCAGTTTAGAGGAAACCAGTCACTATAGCAGCAATGTTTTAGTTCTAGTTTGTGAAGTTTCTAAGATGGACGAGTTTAGGAGAGAAATCTTCAGGTTGTTAGAATTGGAAAAAGTTTAGGTCATTTTAAGGGTAGGATAGTGGCTCAGTGATTAGCACTGCTGCCTCTCAGTGCCAGAAACCCAGGTTCGATTCTACCCTCAAGCAACTATCTGTATGGAGTTCGCACATTCTCCTTGTGTCTGTATGGGTTTCCTCCAGGTGTTTCAGTTTCCACCCACAGTTCAAAGATGTGCAGGTTAGGTGAATTGGCCACGCTAAGTTGCCCAGAGTGCCCATGGGTGTGCTGATTAGGTGGATTAGCCATCGTAAATGTGGGGTTACAGGGATAGGGTGGGTCTGGGTGGGATGCTCTTTGGAGGGTCGTTGTGAGCTCAATGGGCCAAATGGCCTGCCTTTACATTGTAGGGATTCATGAATTGTGAAAAGTGCACACCATCAGACTCAAAGACGTCAATAAATTGTCACTATAGTTCCAAAAACAGAAACTGGAGAAACCATTAAGTAGAAATTTAAAGGCTGTATTGGATAATGTTGTATAGTGTTTGTTTTAAGATCTTTCTTTTGTGTATTAAACTTCAGCTCTGTTATTAAAGGATATCTGCAGCCTCACATTGCTATGTTTTGGTGACTAACCAGCACATTGATCAATTTATCAAAAAGATTAAACATATAATCTATCAACGCATGTTTTGTTCTGGAATCTGACTTGTCCAGCACTATCATCAGCTAAAATTGCAATTTGGCAATTCCGCTTTTTTAAAAAAAAAGTATAACGAACAAACCTCAACATTCTCTGCATTGTTCTCTTGATCAAGCACTGAAATATTCATGGGAACTAAACTGGAAATGAAGCTAACCATAATTTTTTTTGTCAGTATTCTGGAGAAAGAACAGATTTAAAGTACTTGGTATAAGAAACAAAAACGTAAAACATTTGGAAATCACTGCCTTACAGTGTGGCGAAGGCAGGTTCAGTTGAGGAATAGAAAAGGAAATTAGGTATTATTAGATAATAAGATAATTATTTAAAAATAAACAATATGCAGGGTTACAAGGAAAAGGCAGGAGAGTGGCACAAAGTGAAATGCTAATTTGGAGAGCCAGCACAGACATGATGGGCCACATGGTCACCTTCTTTTCTATAACATTTGAGAGATTCTGGAAATAATAAAAAAGGCACCCTCATATCCTTGCCTGAACGATGAAAACTGTGTACTGTACCAGAGTATCCAATGACTGAAGTTATTTACCTTCCACGTTGTCTTCTGAGTAGATTCACTGCTGTCTGAAATTTGTCTATCTTCTGCATGCTCACTAGCTCCTGCTTTCCTTTGCGTATGCACAGTTTGTTGTCTCAGTACAGTCATCTGCAACAGGAAACATACAGTGGAAGCCATGCAACGAAAGGCAATTAACAATGTATGCATTATTCAGATTGCATGTTGCTATAATATTCTATTGTAAACACAAATATACACATAGAAATACAGTGGGAGAAAGAAGCATGTTGGCTCCAAAGCAACAATTCAGATGACATTAAAGTGCATACCAGCAAGCAGGAGCCAGTCTTGTTTTTAACTGGGGCAGAGATGACCCCATACAAAAACTAAAGTCTGCACGGAATCATTGGGGCCAAAGTGATCTCCCCGAGAAATTCTGAATGCCAAAGGGAGTGGAGTCATATATCAAAATTTGTTCAACTAAACTGCGCTGGGTTTTTATCTAGATTTAGATTACCCTACTTTGGGTGGGGAACATACATTGCAAAATGCAATTGATAGCAATTGCATTGGACAGGATGTATGGGCCAGAAGAGCTTTGCCTGTAAGTCATTGTTTATATGAAAATTAACAATGGAGCAAATAAGACAGAAACTGAGGCATGCTTAGGGCACAGCAGGAAGGTAAAGACATAACCAGGACAGTCAGGGACCAGGTGAGGAAAATGTCCCATCATTTAGCTTCATTTGAGTTATTTTGAAAAATTCTTTTGTCAGATGTCAGCATTGCAGGCCTTGCAAGCAACTGTTGTCCATCCCTAACTGTTCCTGAACTGAGTAACTTGCAAGGTTATTTCAGAGGACAGGTAAGAGTCAACCACATTGCTATGAGCCCAGAGTCACATATAGGTCAGACCAGGTAATGACGGTAGATTTCCATCATTTCAGTGAATCGAGTGGGTCTTTATGACAATTGAGATAGTTTCCTGGACACTATCATTGAGCTTGGTTTTGAAATCCAGATTCATAGAATCGCTACAGTGCAGCAACAAGCCATTTGGCCCATCGAGTCCACATTGTCCCTCCAAAGAGCATCTCACCCAGACCTACCTCGCAACCCCATTTCAGTAACCTTGAATTTCCTATGGCTATTCCATATAACCTGCACATCCCTGGACACAATGAACAATTTAGCATGGCATATCCAGCTAACCTGCTCATCTTTGGACTATGGGAGGAAACCCTAACAGACACGGGGAGAATGTGCAAACTCCACATAGATAGTCACCTGAGGGTAGAATCAAACCCAGATTACTGACACTGCGCCTAGTGTTGGTTTGTTTTGAAGCTATATCCTGGCTATCTGGATTAGTAGTCCAGTGGCACTGTACCACCACCTCAGCCTAATGGCACGGTAAAAGAGGCAAAACATACAAAATGACAAGAAACTGTCAACATTAATCAATAGTACAAATATGAAACTCAGTAATTTCTGAAGTTTCCACATGACCAGTTAAATACAGAAGTTGTTGTCAACGATTCCATAGTCTTCTACAAAGTGTGCTATTGCAGCCTGAGGATGGAAATCTTGAAAATCAGTTGAATTGACTTGAAATTGTGTTTACACTGCTCCTGCTGTAAAAGCCTTTAAAAAGCTACATCTTATTGGAAGAAATAATTATATTTAAAGGTGTACCAGGTCATAAATAATCTTATATTTGTGGAGAGTCAAATATCTCCAAATATGATAAAACAGAGCGACTTACACTGACATAGCAAGAACTGCAGATGCTGGAGTCAGAGATAACAAAGTGTGGAGCTGGAGGAACACAGCAGGCCAGGCAGTGTCAGAGGAACAGAAAAGCTGACATTTTGTTCTGAAGAAGGGTCCTGACCCGAAATGTCAGCTTGCCTGCTCCTCTGATGCTGCCTGGCCTGCTGTGTTCCTCCAGCTCTACACTTTGAGATTTACATTGAACTTTTTTGTTATAGTTAAGATACTTAATTTCTACCTTAATCTCATGTACACGCTCTAAATTTTGCTTAATTTCCCATAAAATAGTGAGAGACAATAAGTACTCTCTGCTCCCTGCTTTTTTTGTCTGTGAGAATTCTTCAATGTGACCGCCTGCTTACCCTGTTTGATGAAATTACTATCCCTGAACACCAGACATCTGCTATTGCCGGTGCTGGAATGAAATTAATGTTGAGAAAGATTAAATCCAAGCCAGAGAACTCTCTAGATGTTTGTGGGTCAGTTTCTCAGATTAGGACCTGAGTGTCATCAGTTTGAGATTGGATGTAAAACCCAGGTCATCAAATTACGTCAAAAAATAAAAGGGGGTTTCAAGTTATCTCTCACATCCAAGGAAAATGCTACACTCTCCAGGGTTAGCACCTCCCATACCAGCTATTTATCACATGCAATGTGGAATAAAAAATACATTTGAAGAATTAAGAATATTAATTTTTAAATCTGTCGTCGTTGACTTTTTATTTGCTTTCTTCTCTCTTGAGTTTAAAATTATTGAATGTTTTTGAATTATTTGAATTATTGAATAAAATTATTGAATATTGAAAGAAGTCCAAATATTTTGGCAGAGCTTTTACGGAGCTCACTTTATCCACACTTTGAATACTGCTCACTTAGTACACATGTTACGTGTGTCCATCATTGTTTAAGGTCGCAGTCAGCATTTCAATCTAGGTGTCAGCTTGTTCATGATTTATTAGAAAAATCATTTTTCTGCCCCATATTACAATCTAAGGTCATTGCAAAGTGCTTTACAGCCAATGGGGTATCATTGAAGTGTATGCTATAATGCATGTTTCATTAACAAGAATTGTCTATAACGTGACCGATGAATAGTGGAAGCTGTTCGGGTAACGCAACCCTTCTACTGCACAGTATAGCAATTTTCTACAGCAATTTCCCCAAAACGTGATATTCTATGGTGATCTTCTATAGCTCGATCTTCTATAGCTCAAGGTCGCACAAGAACACAGCTATTGTGTTATAGGAGAACTACCTGTGTAGTCACTGTTGTAACAGAAGAAACATAGTAGTAAATTTGCATACTGAAAGGTTGCACAATCAGCAATGTGATATTGAGCTTTTATTTTAGAAGCTGTTAATAGAGTACGAAGTATTGGAGAAAAGACTGTAAAGCCTCCCTGTTTTCCGTTAGATTCTTGCCATCGGCTCTTTTATATCCGTCTGAGAGGGCAAACAAAGTCTTATTGCATCTGAAAAATGATGTGTCCGTAAGTGCAACACTCTATAGTACACTGAAATATCAGAGTTTTGTGTTCAAACTTCTGGAGTAGGACCGTGGCTTTGTGTTAAGAGGTAAGACAAAATATTTCCAAATCCGTTCCACTCATTACCTGCAGGGTGAAAATACCACACAAGCAAAAACCAAGGTACAGAAAAAAAGACCAGTAAATTGAATTTAGAGAGTGACTACAATAATAAAGTGACTGCAAGTCAAACATGGATGTTTTATCATACAAATGTTGACATTGAGCCATAAAAGTAAATTTTAAGGAAGATAACTAAACATTCAGTCATAGAGGATCTTATAAGGAATGTGTCAAAGGAAGGGAGAGAACTGGAGAGGTAGAGGTTTAGGGAGGGAATGACAGAACTCAGGACTCATACAATTGAAGGCAAAAACACCAATGGTGGATTGATTACAATTGTGGACTAACACCACAAGTTGACTGTCTAAAATATGGTACCCACAAGACTGAGAATATGTCAATTTTTGGATTAACCTAGATTTTGAACACTCAGGTCAGGTTGGATTGGATTGGTTTGGATTGTGGGCACTGTAAATGAGGTGGGGAAGTCAATAACTAGCTCAGTGCATCATTGAAAAGTAGCACTTTTGTTGAATTGTCCCAGTATTTTGACAAACGTCTGAATTCAATTTAACTGACTTTTAGTCATTTAGGAAACATTTAGCTTATGGATAAATCCAGCTTTCAGACTGCCAAATTTTGGATGTCCAACATGTATAGTGTCTTTCATGTAGTTGAGGCTCTTTATAGGAGCATTATCAAATAAAATCTGACACCAAACCACAAAAGGTATAAAACGGCAGATTGCGCAACGTGTTGCTTGAAATAATTTATGATATTGGACAATGAATGGTACCCAAGATTAGTTATTTATCAACACTGGGTCAATGATTAAAATTAATTTTAACCAGAGAGAAAGAAACAAAATGTCCAAGATTTCATCATGAACATGAGCTTTTTTGTGTATCTTCCCTGATGTTTGAAGATAGTTGTAGCGCACCTAAGAATGACTAAATCATAGAATAGAATCCCTACAGTGAGGAAGCAGGCCATTCAGCCCATCAAGTCTACAATGACCCTCCAAACAGCAATCCCACCAAGACCCACCCCGACACACCCCCTACCCTATTCCTGTAACGCGGCAATCCCCATGGCTACTCCACCTAGCCTGCATATCCCTGAATACTACGAGCAATTTAGAATGGCCAATCCACCTATTCTGCATATCTTTGGACTGTGGAATTAAACCAGAGCACCCAGACGAAACCCATACAGACATGAGGAGAATGTGCAAACTCCACACAGATAGCTGCTTGAGGCTGGAATCGAACCCATGTCGTGAGGCAGCAGTGCTAACCACAGGGCCACTGTGTCACCCTAAAGGGTCAGAAGCATTACTGGATAACAGATTAACTCAATGTACTGTTGTCAGAAAGTTAAATACAAATAGTTCAATCATTTGATATCACATGCAATATACAAACAGTGGTTCTACATATTAGACACTTGATAGCAACAAACAATACCAAGCAAAAATCACTTATAAACACCAATTCCCGCTCACAGTTAAACAGCAGAAAATATTAATTTCTTCTTTAACTTATCTCCTCTCACTTGTCTCCTCCCACCAGTCCTTGCCACCTTTTATTCCATAACGTAGAGAATAAACACGTTTATTCCAGCTATCTTTCTCATAGCTGATGGTACCTTCCCAGGTAGAAAATCAGTAGTTACAAGCTGTAATCCAACATCATGTGTAACACTGAGTCAGTTACCCAACACAGTTTAATAGCTGGATGTTACGTGTTTAAAGCACTTTCAAATATTTGGTAGAATTGCAGCAAA